AGTGGGAAAATTTATGGAATCAATAATTGCCGAAGCAATTCGTAGCCATATTGACAGGCACAGTTTGATTAATGAATCTCAACACAGTTTTACAAAGGGGCATTCCTGTCTAACTTTTTTGAGGAGGTAGATCATGGTAATGAATATGATATTGTGTATATGGACTTCAGTAAGGCTTTCGATAGAGTTCCACACCAGAGGCTAATGAGGAAACTTAAGGCATACGGAATAGGAGGAGAAATTTTTTCCTGGGTAGAGGCATGGCTGATAAATAGACAGCAGAGAGTTTGCATAAATGGCGAGAAATCAGAATGGGGGCACGTCACAAGCGGTGTTCCTCAGAGGTCAGTGTTGGACCCGTTGTTGCTCACAATTTACATAAACAACATAGATGAGGGAATAAATAGCGACATAAGCAAATTTGCTGATGACACCAAAATAGGCCGTCCAATTCATTCTAATGAGGACATTAGTGCACTCCAGGATGATTTGAATACACTGATGTAGTGGTCAAAGAAGTGGCAGATGTAGTTTAACATAGACAAATGCAAAGTGCTAAATGTTGGACAGTTAAATAATCATGCCACATATAAACTAAATAATGTAGATCTTAATACTACTGATTGCAAAAAGGATTTAGTTCTGGTTAGCAGCAATCTAAAACTAAGACAACAGTGCATTAGTGTTCGCAATAAAGCTAACAGAATTCTTGGCTTCACATCTAGAAGTATAAATAATAGAAGTCCTCAGGTTGTTCTTCAACTCTATATATCCTTGGTTATGCCTCATTTAGACTATGCTGCTCAGTTCTGGTCACCATGTTACAGAATGGATATAAATGCTCTGGAAAATGTACAGAAGAGGATGACAAAGATGATCCCATGTATCAGAAGTCTTCCCTATGAGGATAAACTGAGGGCCCTGAATCTGCACTCTCTTGATAGGCGTAGAATTAGGGGGGATATGATCGAGGTGTATAAATGGAAAACAGGAAAATAAAGGGGATGTAAACAGCATGCTGAAAATTTCCAGCCAAGACAGGACTCGCAGCAATGGTTTCAAGTTGGAGAATTTCAGATTCAGGAAGGATATAGGAAAGCACTGGTTTGGTAATAGAGTCGTGGATGAGTGGAACAAACTCCCAAATACAGTTATTCAGGCTAAAATGTTGTGTAGTTTTAAAAATAGGTTAGATAAATACACGAGTGGGTGTGGGTGGGTTTGAGTTGGACCTGACTAGCTTATGCTGCTGGGTCTGGTGCTGTGCTCCATCCTTGAGTGGAGGTGACCAGACTGGGTGGGGCATTGGGCTAATTTTTTTTTGGAGGGGGGGGGGGGGGTCATTGGGCCAATCTGGGGGGACTCTGCATGGGTCAGTAGGCCTGTTGCAGTGTTCCTTCTTTCTTATGTTCTTATGTATAAAATCTTAGGATAACCCAAAAAAGTCAGGATGACTTATTTCCATAGGGATCCCTGTATCTGTACCATATGGTGTCCTGTACTGTATGGTACCCTGTGCCATATGGTACCCTGTAACACATGATACTGTGTACTATATGGTCAACAGGTGGTGTTGGTGGAACAAGGCACCAGCCAAGACTGAGTGGCAACACAAGCTAGCTACTGACTCAGCAGTTTCCAAGACAAAGCGCACTTTGTCATCCACCTCAAGGAACATGTCGAGTGGCTGTACATTTGTAAATATATAATAGAACATTAATAATATACAAAATTTTTGCGTATTTTTGTTGTAAACAATTATTGTAAACAAAATAATGATGAAAATATTACTGTGTTTATTGTGTTGAATACAACAGTACCATATAGTACCATATGGTACAATGAACCATATGGTATCATTGTACTGTATGGTACAATGTACCATATGGTACCATTGCACCATATGGTATCATAAGGCACCAATGCACCATATGGTACCATTGCATCAAATGGTGCCACTGTACCATATTATACCATATGGTACCATTGTATCATATGGTGTCATTGTACCATATTGTACCATATGGTACAATTACACCCTATGGCACCACTGTACCATATGGTACCATATGGTACCATTGTATTCAACACAATAACTGCACTAATATTTTCATCATTTTGTTTACAATAAACTTGTAAACAAGTTTTGTAAGCAATATAATGATAAACAAATTAGTGCAGTTATTGTGTTGAATACAATGAGTGTACACTTATATAATATACATTACACTGGTCTCACAGGCCGCAAATGTTACTAGAAAAAGAAAATTAGAAAAGAAAAAAGTATAAAAAACGTAAAATAAAAAAAATGCGATTTTGCGGAAGTCGCTGATGTTGCCGCCAACCGGCCATTTTGGGTCAACAAATTTTGTTGAAAATAAGAAAAAGTTTTGGAGTGAGATTAACAAGTTAAGAAAGCCTAGAGAACAAATGGATTTGTCAGTTAAAAATAGGAGAGGAGAGTTATTAAATGGAGAGTTAGAGGTATTGGGAAGATGGAGGGAATATTTTGAGGAATTGTTAAATGTTGATGAAGATAGGGAAGCTGTGATTTCGTGTATAGGGCAAGGAGGAATAACATCTTGTAGGAGTGAGGAAGAGCCAGTTGTGAGTGTGGGGGAAGTTCGTGAGGCAGTAGGTAAAATGAAAGGGGGTAAGGCAGCCGGGATTGATGGGATAAAGATAGAAATGTTAAAAGCAGGTGGGGATATAGTTTTGGAGTGGTTGGTGCAATTATTTAATAAATGTATGGAAGAGGGTAAGGTACCTAGGATTGGCAGAGAGCATGCATAGTTCCTTTGTATAAAGGCAAAGGGGATAAAAGAGAGTGCAAAAATTATAGGGGGATAAGTCTGTTGAGTGTACCTGGTAAGGTGTATGGTAGAGTTATAATGAAAGAATTAAGAGTAAGACGGAGAATAGGATAGCAGATGAACAAGGAGGCTTTAGGAAAGGTAGGGGGTGTGTGGACCAGGTGTTTACAGTGAAACATATAAGTGAACAGTATTTAGATAAGGCTAAGAGGTCTTTGTGGCATTATGGATTTGGAAAAAGGCGTATGACAGGGTGGATAGGGGGGCAATGTGGCAGATGTTGCAAGTGTATGGTGTAGGAGGTAGGTTACTGAAAGCAGTGAAGAGTTTTTACGAGGATAGTGAGGCTCAAGTTAGAGTATGTAGGAAAGAGGGAAATTTTTTCCCAGTAAAGGTAGGCCTTAGACAAGGATGTGTGATGTCACCGTGGTTGTTTAATATATTTATAGATGGGGTTGTAAGAGAAGTAAATGCGAGGGTCTTGGCAAGAGGCGTGGAGTTAAAAGATAAGAATCACACACAAATGGGAGTTGTCACATGGCTGCTCTTTGCTGATGACACTGTGCTCTTGGGAGATTCTGAAGAGAAGTTGCAGAGATTGGTGGATGAATTTGGTAGGGTGTGTAAAAGAAGAAAATTAAAGGTGAATACAGGAAAGAGTAAGGTTATGAGGATAACAAAAAGATTAGGTGATGAAAGATTGAATATCAGATTGGAGGGAGAGGAGTATGGAGGAGGTGAACGTATTCAGATATTTGGGAGTGGACGTGTCAGCGGATGGGTCTATGAAAGATGAGGTGAATCATAGAATTGATGAGGGAAAAAGAGTGAGTGGTGCACTTAGGAGTCTGTGGAGACAAAAAACTTTGTCCTTGGAGGCAAAGAGGGGAATGTATGAGAGTATAGTTTTACAACGCTCTTATATGGGTGTGAAGCGTGGGTGATGAATGTTGCAGCGAGGAGAAGGCTGGAGGCAGTGGAGATGTCATGTCTGAGGCAATGTGTGGTGTGGTGAATATAATGCAGAGAATTCGTAGTTTGGAAGTTAGGAGGAGGTGCGGGATTACCAAAACTGTTGTCCATGAGGGCTGAGGAAGGGTTGTTGAGGTGGTTCGGACATGTAGAGAGAATGGAGCGAAACAGAATGACTTCAAGAGTGTATCAGTCTGTAGTGGAAGGAAGGCGGGGTAGGGGTCGGCCTAGGAAGGGTTGGAGGGAGGGGGTAAAGGAGGTTTTGTTGTGCGAGGGGCTTGGACTTCCAGCGGGCATGCGTGAGCGTGTTTGATAGGAGTGAATGGAGACAAATGGTTTTTAATACTTGACGTGCTGTTGGAGTGTGAGCAAAGTAACATTTATGAAGGGATTCAGGGAAACCGGCAGGCCGGACTTGAGTCCTGGAGATGGGATGTACAGTGCCTGCACTCTGAAGGAGGGGTGTTAATGTTGCAGTTTAAAAACTGTAGTGTAAAGCACCCTTCTGGCAAGACAGTGATGGAGTGAATGATGGTGAAAGTTTTTCTTTTTCGGGCCACCCTGCCTTGGTGGGAATCGGCCAGTGTGATAATAAAAAAAAAAAAAAAAAAAAATTCCCGCTGCTGTATCTCGGTAAGTACTGATCAGAATTTTTTTTTTTGTTTTATTACCTTCACAAAAATATTATCTTTAATTCTGTAAGAATTTTTTTTTTTTTTTTTTTTCAAAATTTCTTGGACACTGGGGCACCCCTTCAAATTTTGGCCTTGAACCCTGAAAAGGTTAAAGGTAAACTATTTCATGTTTCCTCGCATTTTTTGGTGCTTTTTTTATATTACTTGTATAAATAAGTCACCATCGGGCCTAAGAAGGATAATGATAACAGCCAATGAAAAAGAAAATTGGTTGGGAAAAATTCATTCTGTACTCAAATAGATCGGCACTCAAATGGCCTTCTGGAACCAATTAAGTTTGAGTGCTAAGGTTCCAATGCATATTTTTTTAAAAATCATGACACTGCCAGTACTTTTAATTTCAGGAGTCATGAAAGTGAAAGAGTTATTACCACCTCTAACTTTCAACCTATTAATATGATAGAATTTTGTCACGTCTATTTTTTAACCTTTGTATGAAGCAGTTTTTGTTTTTGAGCTCAATCATTTTACACAAAAAGCTATTATTACTATTAGTACTTTAGTAATAAAAACAACCTACCTATACATGTGTGAAGCACTAAACAGTGATCCTAATACAATAGACTCAAGGTAAATTGGTTCAATGAAATGGGAAAGAAGTGCACCCTGAAGCCCAACCACATTCCATCTGGCGACTTTATCAGAGCATGACATAGTCCGTAAACGTTCTCCTTGAAGTACTCCATCCCAGGTTTGTATATTGTCTGCACCAGCCTGAAAGTTTATATAATAATTAATAATTATATGACACATACCACATTTAAGATAATTTAGGCCATGCAAAAATAATTATGTCTTCAAAGTTCATCATTCACTATTGTCAATAATGTTTGGATCAGCATATATATTTTCCAAATGTTATTGTCCATGACTCAAAATTTTAAACCACAGTCATCTCAACCCAAAATTTTAAATCACACTAGCAACCAAAAACTTTTAATTATTTTTTGGTAAACTTACTGGTCCTTCCTAGTACTGAAAATTTATGCCTTTTCATTTTGGGGCTAGGGTCATCTGTGATGTATCAGAAAGCCATGTTACCCAAGCTTTGGCTGTAATTCTGACTGAGAACCCCTGATCTAGATGGAAAAAAATGCCAGGACGTATTCTCCCTTAATTAAGTGGCAAGCAAAAAAAGCAGAGAAAATTTTTAAAAAGCCACAAAAGCACATACTTTTTAACCCTTAAACTGTCCAAACGTAAGTTTGTACCACTAGCGCTCCAAACGTAAATCTATGTTTTATTTTTCCTGCCTCCAAATTTGGCACGACTGGCCTGAGATGCTTGGTCAGTATAGAATGGGTCTTAACATTCGGTGTGTGCAGTATTATAAAAATCTGGGATCACTTAGTACCTACCTTGTGGGAGCACCAGCTCAATTGGCTGCCAGCTAGAGCAAATAGCGTGGCAAAAACCAGGGATTCACTGATGTCATGTCGTATTAACACCCCTTTTAAGAGGAAAGTGATGTTGATCCAAAGTTTAGTAGCTATGAGATAGGATGTGGCCACAAGTGAATGAGGAAATATCAAAAACCTTCATAATAACCCATATGCAACATTTGTGCAACATCCTTTCATTTTTGATACCACTGGTAGTGTCATCCTGCCAGAATGTCCTATAACCTATGCCCTAAGAGAAAAGATTCTGGAACATGTGTAATATGTATTTGTCTGTATCAGTATCTCTGTCTCTATCTCTGTCCATCTCTATCTATATCTGTATCTCTATCTATCTGTACAGTGCCCCCTACGATTACACGAAATGACAATTATGTAAGTGTATTTATTAGGCTTTGTAAGTATGTTTGGGGACCCTAGAAAGACAATCTACTTACACAATATTCCTTATAGGAACAAATAGGCATACTGGCACCTGAACATACATTCGGACGTGAAAAAATCGTAACGGGTCACTGATTTGTTAATGTCTGACTCTCTGTCGTCTCTATCGATGTCTCTCAAGACAAACATACAGTCACAACAGTGTAAATACTAGGATACCAAAAAATCCAGTGCTATACACGATCGTAGATAAAGCATAAAGAGCATGAACTGGCAGATAATATGCACATTCACTAGATCAGAACAGACGTACGCTGTGTGATGTAATAACTATAGCTTGAGTAGTTCAAGACAGAGACAAGCAGACCAGAAAGGCATACACCAGCAAAGACGACAACAGAGGATCAAAACACACAAGCGTACATGACAGACAGATAAGTGCAAACAGGCTAACAGACGACGTGTGATGTATACAGGAAAACATAAAACAGCCAGGCTCTTCAGCAATCACATCATGCAGTGGAACATCTGTATGTCACATTTAGGACACTCATCTTACCCATCTTCAAGAAATTCATAAATACCCAGGCTGTCTAAAATGCTGGAATCTATACTTGTATATATTTTAGCGATGTAAATGCAAGCAGTGAAATTTTCGAGTTGCAATTTTAGTACCTAATATTAGTGTCAAAACAAAGATTGGCTATGAAATCACAAGAACTACTATAAATTTTAATTATCAGAACGTAAAAATTAAATAAAAATAATATAAAAACAAGAAAAAAGGTATATTGGCAACACTTTGGCAAGAGGCAGGACTCCATGTTGCAGTCAGGTGAGCATCCAGTGCCAACTTCATGGGTTTATATCTCGGTAAGTACTGATCCTAATTTTTTTTTTTTTATCTTATAACGTGTTGAATATAATGCCCTCTTCATTAATTTTTTTTTTTTCAAAATATTCGGAGCGCTGGGCGAGCGAACGTCAAATCTACGTTTGGACAGTTTAAGGGTTAAAGTACTTTTCTTATGGAACTACATAATTATGATTTTTTTTTTTTTTTTTACCATACTGACCATTTCATTCTTGAAATAGTGCAGATAAATAAAATTGACTGCATACAGTCAATTTCACAAATTTGTGGGAATACAATCTTTAGAGGTCCAAGAAAATAAGAAACCTACATATATCATATACAGTGGAACCCTGGTTATCGGCCATCATCAGTTCCAGAAGGCTGGCCTAAATCCAAAATGGCCTAAAACCGAATCAATATTTCCCATAAGAAATAATGTAAATACAATTAAACCATACCACAGGCGGGGATAGAACCCGCAATCAAGAGTCTCAAAACTCCAGACCGTCGCATTAGCCACTGGACCAGCTTGCCACAATAAGATTCATCCAACTAAGTATAATACAATTAATCAGTTCGAGACACTCAAAAATATTAACAAAAAAATAATTTTTTAAAGTTTAACTATAGTTCTACATACACAAAACAATGAGAAAAAATGCAGCAGTAATTTTAATAATAAAGGAAGATTACATACCTTTACTGAAGACTCTTGTTGGCATATGGAAGAAGGCAAAGAGGAGGGAGGAGAGAGTATTGTTTGGAAGGAGAATCCCCCTCCATAAGGACTTCAGGTATCAAAGCCCTATCTGGGGTTATTTCCCTTCTTTGTCTTTTACTAGCACTAGAACCAGCTTGAAAGTCACTGGACCCGTTGCACAAAATATCTCTCCAGAGAGGCCTGTTTCTGGCACCTCTGTAAAACTTGCCTCCTCTGAAGCAATATCCTCAGCTGCAGTCTGTTGCTGTTCCAGTTGAAGGTGTTGCAGCTCTTCAGTGGTTAGCTCTTCCCTGTAGTCCTCCACCAACTCTTCCACATCCTCAACACTCGCATCCAACCTCGTGGACTTCCCCAATGATACAATACGTTCCACAACAGGTGTAGGGTCGTCTAGGTCAGCCTCAAACCCTTCAAAATCCTTGTCAGGACACAATCTGGCCACAATTTTCTCCAAGCAGTGTTCAAAGTCTTGGAAGTCACTCCCTGTCAAGCTTTATCTAAGGATTATGCAATGGAGGATATTAAAGGGATCCCTCCAGAACTCTCTTAGGGTCAATTCAGTGTCTGAGGTCACTTCAAAGCACCTTTGAAACACTGCTTTGGTGTACAGTTTTTTGAAATTTGAAAAAACCTGCTGGTCTATGGGCTGGATGAGAGGAGTGGTAGTAGGGGGCAAGAACTTCACTCTGATGAACTTACACTCCACAAACAATTGGTCTTCCAAGTCTGGAGGATGAGCAAGAGCACTGTCCAGTACCAGGAGGCACTTGAGAGACATTTATTTACCAAGAGGTGTAGTGGAACCTTACTTGCGAGCGCATCCACATGTGAGTTTTTCCAAATACGAGCAGTTGATGGGTTGATTTTTTGCTTCAATACACAAGCAAAATTTCCATAAGCGAGCAGACCTCAAGGCAGGTTCCTTAACGCTGGTGAGGGGCTCTTGCTCTTGATCTAGAGAATTGTATCTCATTTGTTTGTTGGACTATCTTATTGAAACTTGGGCAATGTATGACAGAAAGATGCTTCTTAATGTACACCAAAAATGAAAGAAATTGGACCATAAATAATGGAGTTCACTTCTCAGCAATTAGCCACCCCTTAGTGGTATTTCTGTATGGTTTTTATGGTTGCATTCTCATTTTTTTGGTCTCATTTGATAGAATGGAAGATATATTACAGAAATAGCTATGATTCTGATTGGTCTTTTACGATGAAAAGTACCTTGAAACTGAGCTCAACGAGGGAGAAATGCTCGTTTGCTTGACTGTTCACGAGTAAACAAACGATGTCACTGTCCATTCCAATATGCAGTCGTAAATGGGTTCACATTATTTATACAATTATTGCAATAAGGCATAATAGTAAATCTTACTTTTTTTTGTGTGAATAAAAATTACAATATGTATATAATAATAATAATAATAATAATAATGATAATAATAATAATAATAATAATAATAATAATAATAATAATATGTATACTAATAATAGTATAATAGTATAATACAATAATAGTATAATAATAAAAAACAATAATAATAATAATAATAATATAATACGAATAATAATACATTTTTTTTTCAAACAAGTCGGCCATCTCCCACCGAGGCAGAGTGACCCAAAAAGAAAGAAAATCCCCAAAAAGAAAATACTTTCATCATCATTCAACACTTTCACCTCACTCACACATAATCACTGTTTTTGCAGAGGTGCTCAAAGCACAACAGTTTAGATGCATATACATACAATGATACACCCCGCCTTCCTTTCCCTACAGATTTATACACACTCCATGTCATTCTACTTGGATCCATTCTCTCTAAATGATTAAACCACCTCAACAACCCCTCTTCAGCCCTCTGACTAATACTTTTATTAACTCCACACCTTCCCCTAATTTCCACACTCCGAATTTTCTGCATAATGTTTACACCACACATTGCCCTTAGACAGGATATCTCCACTGCCTCCTCGCTGCAGCATTTACAACCCAAGCTTCACACCCAAATAAGAGTGTTGGTACTACTATACTTTCATACATTCCCTTCTTTGCCTCCATAGATAACATTTTTTGCCTCCACATATACCTCAATGCACCATTCACCTTTTTTTTCTTCATCAATTCTATGATTAACCTCATCCTTCATAAATCCATTCGCTGACTCGTCAACTCCCAAATATCTGAAAACATTCACTTCTTCCATACTCCTCCCCAATTTGATATCCAATTTTTCTTTATCTAAATCATTTGATACTCTCATCACCTTACTCTTTTCTATGTTCACTTTCAACTTTCTACCTTTACATACACTCCCAAATTCGCCCACTAATCCCTGCAATTTTTCTTTAG